CGGGTGAAACTTCGCTGTTGATAGCATCAGATGAGATTTTTGGACGTTTTACGCAGAAAATTCATCGAAAAATCACTCCGATGGAGCTAGGAAGAGATATTTAGTATTTGATAGCCGCAGTGGCATGAGAGATACGCAAAGGGGACTTTTCGCGCACGATTATGTTCTTCTAATAGAGATTATTGCACGCGTGCACAAAGTTTTCTGCTCAGGATTGAGATTAGACAACAGCGATGAAGAGGAAGAGCCTCGGGTGGCAACGAAAATCATTTATCGTTGGTTGAGCCAAATTTTGGTGGCGCTGGTTGTGATGCATAAAAATAGAGTTATTCATCGGGACTTGAAAACTGATAACGTAATCGATTGACCCCGGGTTCGATCCCCGGTGAGTGAGTTTTTATAAAAGATATTAATCACGAGTGACCTGCAAATGGCTAAGGTTTGCGACTTTTCGGTTGCGAGGGTCATCGATGGAAAAGGAGGTTTATTGACTGGATATGTTGGTAAGTGGTTGCGAGGGGAAAATTAGGAAATTTGGGAAATTTTGGAAATTTTAGAAATTTTTCAGAAATTTCGGAAATTCTCAAGATTTTTTTGATAAATTCTCGTTGGTTTCTGTACACTTTTACCCGAATTGGTATGTAAACTTTTAGTAGTGGTAGCGTGTATTAGTCCAGCGATGCTACGGCGATGGCGTAGTAGATGTAGATATTGAGGTCCCGGGTTCAAATACCATCGATGGCACTTTTCCGATATTTATTCTCTTAAAAATATTTTTCACCAATTTTTATGCTCACTAGCAGGTACGCCGAATTACGCGGCACCGGAGGTGCTCACTGGTAGAGTTTATGACACTTCGTGTGATATGTGGTCGCTGGGATGTTGCCTGTTCGAAATGCTGAGCCTCAAACAATGCTTCAAGGTTAGTGAAAGAGGCACTATTCCAGGTTCGATCCCCGGGGACGTCATTTCTACCGCATTTATTCCCTTGTGGGTTCGCTTTTTTGATATAATTCACAGCTTGACCATGAGAAAATTGCTGTTGACATACATGAATAAAGTTTTTTTTCTCCGTTGAGGAAACTCCGATCAATGCAAGTGATTCTGCGGAGTTTCTAATAGTTAGAAATTATATCAATGAAGTTTCTTGACCCTAGTGATATGAAAAACATATTTCACGACTACTGCATACCACCGCGAATATCGCGTTTTCCACAGAGTATTACGCCATTTTTTGAAAATAACTATAAGTTATACGTAATGTATCATAGATAATCAGAAGCTATATAATACGACACGAACAAATCTTCCGATCCGTTCGGAAGCTCCACTACACGCAATGTGTATCACACATCAATCACGGAATCGTATATGGCATGGACGAAACCTCACCGAGTCGTCTCCCCTACCCCCCTTTCAGTGTTCAACCTGAGCATAAAGTCTCAAAGTATTCTTATATACAACCAACATTGAGAAGAGTAATGCAGTAGCAATGTCTGCCAAGCACACTACTTTAGCATTTATGCAAAGTAACATTTTTTCAACACCCTCAATTTTTCAAAAGTCAACATGATAACAATGTGAATCGACTGACACCAACGTTTCAGGAGCGGTCAGTAGCCTATAGTCGTACTACTCCCAAATTAAAGAGAACCTAGATATGCATAACGGTTTGGTTCACACTGTACACGGGTATTGCTCTGGCGTCTTAGGGCCCGCCCTTGAAGATTGTTAAGAACATACAGAAAGGGATTATCCCTTCGTTACCTGACGACGTTGATTCTTCACTTGACATGATGTGCCACAGGTGGGAAATGCGTTCGCGTATATGCAACTCTTTCACCTCGATACGCACTGTACGTGTTCAATTGATTCATAGGAGTTTCACCCTAGTGATATAAAAACCACTTGTGGAAAATATATTTCACGCATATCACCGCAAATATCACGTTGTTCACAGAGTCACTTCACTAACGCCACTTCACGTAAAACGGGTGTTGAAACTCCATAGTTGATGTCAATTTAATTCGTTTCAGTTTCCGAATACGGATATTAGTTTTGACGGATTTTACAAACCAGTCGCAGTGAATACTCGAAATTCGCGCAAAAGTCGCTTTAGAAGTATTTTTTTCTGATCTCACTAGATTGCTGAATCCAAACCCGGCCAAAAGACCGACCGCGATCGAGTTATGCAGACATCCTGCGATGAGGAAACATATAGCTGATCTCATAAGAAGCGTAGGAAGCGTCACTGCGCCACGAAATTCAATATTCGCCCTCTGGGCTACTATCACTAACGACCGACTCATCGCAGTGTTGGAATATAAGCTCGCTTTCCTCAGCTGAGCTTAGGAGTTTCCTCGCTAATTATGGAAGTTCACATACGATTTTTGGTAGAAGTTTACAAAAACGAGGAAGGTCTTCTCAGAGTTTTTTTCAGAACTTGTGTATAGTCACCAGCATCAGTTGTTGACCATGTTGGGAATCATCTCACAGTGAATCTTAGTGTCGAATTTTGGAGAGATCGAAATACAGGAAATTATCAGTGTGTCTTTTTTCCTGAATTTCCAGGAAAAAATCATGGAAAATTTTCAGGCGAATTTTTTAACTTTTTACATCCTGCGATAAGTAGTTTCGGGGCATGCTGATTCATAGAAAAAATAAAAACATTGGAGTTTCACCCGTGATATGAATAACACATTTTACTTCGTGAATAACGCATGAAACACGTGCTGTGTTTTACGTGAAATGGAGTGATTTGGTCGGCGTTATTCGCGAAGTGCTTACGTAGAGTATAACGCCACTTCATGGGAAGTTGATGAACGTTCTGAAAATCAACGTTTGAAAGGTGCCGCACATATGCAACGTGATAAGCGAGATTCTCGGAGTGCCGCTTCCACCTGATCTCCAGCCTGTAGTGGACGCAAGACTGGCGAAGCTAGCGGAGCGAAGAAAAATGATGGTGAGATTGAATGATTTGACGCTCTTTGGGGGAACTTTGACTTGCAATACTGCGGCTGATGAGATTAGTACAATGGAGTTTCACCACCCTAGTGATATGAAGAACATATTTCACGACTAGTGTATAGTGTGAATATCGCTACGCCACTTCACGTAAAACGGGTGAAACTCCAATCATCAAAACGTGAATATAATGTGTATTGTGTTGGATGGCTTTCGTTTAGGGAGAAGCAGAGGAAGATGAGGACTACGTTGAGGAGGAGGTCGAAGGGCAGATAGCAGTCAATGATCAGAGTAACACTTATATTTGTGGGTATATGGTGTAGTGGTATAATCGTTGTTTGGTTGGCGAAAGGTTGTCGGTACAATTCTTGGTGAAGTCGTATTTATTATCCTCCATCGATCAGGTCAGCTTCAAGCCTCTGGCGTCGGTAAAAAGTCTGCTGAAGAACATTCAAGTACACAGCAGCAAGTTTCGGTGGTTTATGAGTTCAACCTAGTCTCGGGTAGAGCTACTGGAGTAGCTACTCCGAGTAGAAGTGTAAAGAAATCAGCAATAAATTCCCCAAAATTCCCTCAAAATTTCCATATTTTCACCAACATGCGTATATTCCTCTAAGCTGAATATCGCTAGGAGTCTATTTCGCTGGTCTCAGGTGGAGCTACTGGAGAGGTGAGGCCGCCGATCGCTGCTGACTTCATCAGCAACCTCGGTGTGTCTGCTGATGAGCTTGCGACGGCTGGTATTGAAATCGACGAGAATGCGGACTTTGAAGATTTGCTCGTCGAGCAAGATGAAGAGCTGCAAGTGTCCATCGTGGCATTATTACAAGGAGTTTGGGAAGCGACTGGAAATTTGACATTCAATGTACGCGAGCTGAATGCGGAATATGGAGGCGGCTCGGGAGTTCAACTGAAGATCCAGCGTGCTCATCGGAGGGGAAATTTGAACCGGACGGAGTTTTTATTGAACGATTTATGGATTATGGTGAAGGAGGAGACGAGTTTCTTACCACCTCAGGTTGGCGGAGTTTTTTCCCTCCACTGTGTGTGAAATTTTCTGTGTGTTAGTATGTGACTTGGCAGAAAATCGAGCAGAGAAACTCAGGCCTACCGGAAGTCATGTGCTGGATGAGACCGGTGAGGGAAGGGGAAAATATGCACATGTGTTGGTGATGATATGAAAATTATGGGGAAATTTAGAAAAATTCTGAAATTGTTGGTTTCTGTACACTTCTAGTTGAATTTGTGTGTAAGCTTATATAGCTAGTGAGGAAACTCCTGAGCTCAGCTGAGGAAAGAAAACATATATTCCTACTCCAACACTGTATAGGAAACTCTAAGCTCAGTTGAGGAAAACAAACATATATTCCTACTCCAACACTGTAT